AGTCAGAATCTCACTCTGTCACCCAGGCTGGAGAGCAGTGACACACTCATGGCCACTGCAGCCTTGACCTTCTGGGCTCAGGTGATCCTTCTGCCTCAGCCTTCCAAGAAACTGGAACAACAAGTGTGTACCACCACGCCCAGCTAATTTTTTTGAATTATTTTAGAAATGAGGTCTCGCCAAATTGCCCAGGCTGGTCTCAAACCCCTGGGCTAGGGCAATTCTCTTGCCTCTGCCTCCCAAAGTGCTGAGATTACAGGCATGAGCCACCATTCCTAGCTTTATGTCAGTAATTGATGATACAACCAAACTATTTGTTAGCAAGTTCACATTAACTGTACATTTTTTAATAACTCTAGATTATTATTCCTACTCAATATGTGAGGTGATAGAAGATATCAATAACAGATGGAGAGTTGAAGGACATAATGAGTTAGCAGTTTAAATGAGGTGGATTCTCAAAGCTGTCTCTTGTTTTGCTTGGTTTTTCTTTTCTGATGTGGCAATCCTATCTGGTTACTTCGTGTGGCCACATTTAGCAATTAATTTAGGTATTTTCATTTATACCAGAAGCACTGTTAAAGAAATAAGCCTTTCCAAAATATTCCCAAAGGATCTGTGAATCAGAAATACAATATATTTTCTCTCCTAATAAAAACTATTTCTAGACGACAAAGGCGTTTCTTCCAGCGATGATGAAGAATAATCATGGCCATATTGTCACCGTGGCTTCAGCAGCTGGGCATACTGTGGTACCCTTCTTACTTGCTTACTGGTATGTGAACGTGTGTTTCCTTCTTTGATTCTTTTTAGGGTCTCACTCTGTCATAGGCTGGAGTGTGGTGGTATGAACACGGCCACTGCAGCCTCAACCTGTTTGACTCAGGTGATCCTCCCACCTCAGCCTCCCGAGTAGCTTGCACTATGGATGCACATTACTACACCTGGCAAATTAAAAAATTTTTTTTGTAGAGACGAGGTCTCGCCACGTTGCACAGGCTGGTCTCGAGCTCCTGGGCTCAAGCAATTCTCCTTAGCCTCAGAGTGTTGGGATTACAGGTGTGAACTGCTGCACCCCGACTCCTTCAATGGTTCTTATACTTAACTTGTTCATGAGATTTCTTACCCTGTCTCATGATGGCTTCCTTTTTCATGACAGTCGACCAGAAGGTGCTGATAGGTAGAGAGAGTTACCCAAAGTCTCTTGTATCACAGCCTTATCTTCTGCTAAATTCCTTCTAGATTTCAATTGGAGGACCCTTCCAGAAGTGGCCACAGGGAATTTATCAATTATAAGCCAACCATTTAAAGCAGTTCTCATTCCTTTTTACAGTCAAGAATTATGAAACAAGATTTTTGTAGCATCAACAAAAATTAATAATTTTTTTTTTTTTTTGAGTTGGAGTTTCACTCTGTCGCCCAGACTGGAGGGCAG